TGAGTGTTTTCTCGACGTTTCATGACCCCTAGAGTACGAAAAAATAGCCCCTCTGTAGTTTCAACTTGTCTGTGTATCTGCCGTCTGTCCAGATTTTTATTAGACAAATAATCTCCGAAACTACTAAATTGATTGTTATCAAATTTGAGATGTATGTCATGAATATTTTGTAGATGGTAAAACACTAACCAAAATCTCACAAACAGTTTGATTACGTCATCTCCAAATGTTACACTAGCAAATGTTATTTAAATTTTGAAAGGTAACATATTCCTCCGTTTCAGACAGCCAGATTTCTGAAAAAAGTCAATACCTATTATAATTTTTATCCCTTGGATAATTTTGGCATAATTATACCTACGTGGTGAACTATGCAAAGTCAAACTTATGTTATGAAAATTTCACACAGAATGATGAAAAATTTTGCAAATTATTATCTAGTTTGAAATTTTATGCTGATTACAGTGTTTTGTGAAGGATCAGCCTAATTTGTTTTAAAGAATTTACTAAATGGTAAATGTCATTTGCAGGCAGTGATTCAAAGTTCATTGACTTGTATGCTTCGTGGTAAGTACCTATGCAGTAAGAAACGAATTCCTTAAATCAAGCTCAGCACTATTATTTTAGAATATGATTTTCAAGTGTAAAAATGTATTCCATTTTTTAATAATTTAATGAACGTTAAAACTGTAACAAGAAAAAATCGACACTAAAATGAAGTTCGTACAACGAATAAAAAGTCACCAAATATTTATCATTAAGTTAGTGCAAAATGAAAAATAAAATAAGCAAGGCACTTTGGTGGATTTCCAATTTTCAATTAGCTCATAACCTAAGCGATTTTTTCAATATTAATCTTCGGACAGGTCAACTTTTTTTTAAATATGGTAACACTTTTTGAAGTAAAAATATATTTTGTGTAGCCAGCAGTTTTCGGAAAGTGACGTCATTGACGATTTTTTTTAATGACAACCCCAACCTTTTCTTTCTGATTCTGATACATTCCTTTAATGGTTAAATGATCGTAGAAAAAAATCCGTACTTTACAAAAGCATTTTTTTGTGAAAACTAATATTACACTTGGAAAAACAAAATTTTGATTTTCATTGGAAACATGGAAACAGATGAAGGGTTCCAAACTATTGAAGCCCTGCTATCCAAAGCATCGTTTTTATCTATGAAAATAAATAATAAAAGAATTGCAACTATATAAAAAGAAGATTTTTGGAATCAAAAACCGGCGAATTATTATTGAGGGTGTTAAATTTGACAGAAGGGGACACATTGTGCAAACGATTCCTTATCATTTATTACTTATCAGAATCATAGTGCATTTATTCAACTGAACGCGACAGAATCGAAATTTTAGTGATGGTTCGATATGGTGCCAAAGTAAGAATTCATGAGGAAGCATGTGATTTATCGAATTAACAAAATTCTGATAGATACCCCATCGCTAGATTCACAATAAATAAGTATAATACACACAACTTTTTCGCAACATGGTACTGTAGAGACTTATCTGGACGAGGTCGATCTTCTGTCCTTCATGACCACTGGGCGGAAAAATATCTTACGGATGCAATTCCCCAGTTGAAGCAAGGTGTGTTTTACGGCGAGTAGCGGGGACGCTTTGATCTGGTCCACAAGGTCGTAGCCAGTGCGTCGCTTGGAGTGTTTACAGCTTGTTAAAAAACTACTTCTATATTACTATATTACTTCAAATAAAAATACTCGATGCCCTTTTTAATTTTTCAAACACATGACCACAGATTTGTGATCTTGAAATGTTATATTATGTTGATATAGTCCAAAAGAAAAATATATTTGTAATCAAACTATCGCCGCGACAGCACTGGATCGAGCGTATGAAACACAATTCCGCGCGTTGTTCATGACACTAAATTAAATATTTACTAGAAGCCGAAGAAAAACCGTATATGTGTGTCGGACAACTTGTTTTAAACTCAAATACCGCCGGCACAATTGTTAACAAATTAATTAAAAAGAAAAATACCATCCGTACAAAGTGCACTTAATTTTTAGTGTTTATAAATAATATTTTCTTTTCCGATGAAGCTAACTTTTGTTTTAAACGAGAGCATAAATCACCATAATTATATCGATACTTTTATCATGAGACACAAGAATCTCATACTCACAGCAAAATAAATGTGTGGGTTAGATTTTTTCAAGAAACGTTAATTGCGCGCTATTTAGATTTCTTAGGTTTTGACTGTGTTCCCGCTCTTACAGTTATTATTATTGTTATTATGTTTTAAACCACTAAAATGATAAAATGCCCAACCAACGAATTTGGTTCCAACAAGATGTATAGTAAACCAAGAGTTATAAGGTTATATGGCCATCATAAAATCATCCCATTGTGTCGAAGTTAAGTTGTTTACAATAGAAAAGGTTTTAGGGTCGTAAATAACGTGTCCACTGCAGCTCGACCGGCTCTTGTGGTTTCGTTCAGGGGCAGCTTTCACTAAATATGAAAATCCACCACTCCACTATTTCTTTACTACCTGCAGCCGCTGAGGGTTCCGAAATAACCACTCGCTTTGAAAGCCGGCCCTGTTAAATATGAGCAAGAAATGTTTAGAAGATGATTTATTGCCAACCGGTAAGCTTAGTGCGAACCACACAAAGGGGGTATTTATTTGCGGTCAACTACTTTTATGAGGACCATATAACCTTATAGGTCTTGGTTCACTATATTTTGGCGTGGAAGTGAGAGAGTTTCTTGCATATATCCAATAGTACTATATTGCTAACTGGCCTCAAAAGAGTCCGAAAACATAACGGCAGAGCAATATAATATCGGACCGCTCTGTCTCTCTGTGGTACTACGTGGTACTGCACATACACTCGTACTTGCTTGCGTTGTAGTCGATAGTAGAGATGGGTCGTTACTGTAGGAACCGTTCCACTGTAGTGCTACCATCGAGTAGCGGACTGTAGTGCTCCTCGCGACAAAAGTAACACGTTCCACTCTGCGTTCCACTTGGAACTCGAAACGATATTTGTACGGGAGTTACGGGACGGAAATTCAAGGAACGAAATCATAAAACACGTTTGTCCGGAACGTTACAAGAAACGCAAATAGTGAGGGCTTGGGAACTGAAAAAGAAGAGAATAATGTTTCTGTCATTAAAATAATTGTGTGTTTATCAACACAAAAAAGATATCAGGAAACGTTTATAAGTAGGTATTTATTTTATAATATTTATGAAAAAAAAAGAAAAAGAAAATGTACGCGGATCAAAAGTCGACCCGATAGCATGACTGGATGCGTTTTGACATTTCGTACTTTCGCTTCTATTTTGTGTACATGCGTACAGACCCTCGTTACTCTTATAGACACAAAGCAGCATCTTCTGTCTCTGTCTGTCCGTGAACACCGTTTCTATGTTACTTCTGAAGAGTTAGCAATATAGTAGTATAAGTTATATGGTTTCTTGACAATATTTTTGAGAGAAGATGGGCAGAGCGACGTGGGTCGTTTGAACGGCCGGCTCGTTTGCCAGTTTTAAAGCTGCTTGATTTTTTTTCTGGGAGATATTTAAATCTAAAGAAGTACATTATGAGATCAAACAATCTGGTCATCTCAAGACCCGAATTTGAATAGAATCTCAGATATGAATACAAAGTGTTGGTATGTGTCAAACGTATGATGAATGGCAGTTTGAACATTTACAATAGTTTTGTTGTTGTTTCACTGTAGAATTTCAGTTCAAATTGTGTTAATATATCGAATTTTTGTTTTTCTATTTTAATAAGATTTTTGCCCAAAAAATGTTTATGTAAGGTACCAACTAGTTTCTACGACTACTTAACTGATCTTTTAGAATCCAAAAGAAAAAGTTGGGCTGCCAATTAAAAAATGAATTTTTATGCAGCACTTTACCAACACTCTGTATATTGATAAAAACATTTTTTTTGTTTTGTTATAGATATTTTTTAATAGCTAGAAATATCTGCGTAAATTTCAAAGAACAAATTTAGCAGTTACAGAAGAAATTAAAAAAATGTATTTTCTAGAAGGGTCATAAAGGGTGAGCTAACCCCAAACACTTTACTTTCTTTGGACGCCTCTAATACAACTACTATGAGGTAATCTGTAAATTATGAATAACTTTGTTTGTGAAGATTTTACGTATATTATTGAAAAAGGTGTGCTACTTGGAACTTAATAATAAATCAACTTGATTTTCATAACTAGTTTGACCTACATAAGAATGTATTTAAATATTGCCTATTGACCTTTTTAATTAAGATTGATTAAATAATATTGTAACTGTAAAGAAGATTATATTGTTTTTATTTTATAAAAAAAATACCAGTAAAATATTTCTGATTTAAATAATTTTGACTTAATATAATTAGTTCCCTTTTATTCTAATCTGGTCTTGGTTATAAATTAAAATTGATAAACTTTAGCATAATTTGTCAATTAATTAGCTACCTAATAAATAAGCCTGTATTCTTTCCTCTCCAATAAAAAGTTTTATGTTAAGGGCACAGACAACAGAATAAGAAAATATCCACGTATGTTATACAACAAAATAAAAACTCGGGGGTCTAACATAAATAATTAAAGAGATATCATAGTAAATACAGATAAAGTAGCAAACGAGATCATAAAATTGTTGATAACAATCGCTAGTAAATATTTTATTATTTATGATCTGACAAGCGAATGTTGATGATTAATGGTGATGCGTATCCCAAATATAGCACTAGTCAGGCGATAAAATGTTTATTTTCAAGAAATGATATAATTGAAAGGGAATATGTTGTGCATGCGGCTGTTTCGCACTGGATATATACAGTAATAATAATTATTGCGCTGTTTTACACAACTTGGAGCAACAGTTAGAAATATTCACGTGATATTGTTTATTATAAGCGGCACATCCGACCTTCATCTACTCCTATTCGTTATGACATACACAATGGTTGTGCATCACGATTATTAACTAGCTAGGAACATTAAAAACTCTTTCAAATGAAACGAAAGTCAAAGAATAACCTTTATGCGCATGCCACTAAACTTTTTACACCTGTACCAGAGTGGAGTACATCAACATGAAGAATGCTAAGAGACCACACTCTGTTTGGAAAGTTTGTTGTGTGTGCTGAATAAAGTGTAAAATCAACATGCCACGTAAGTTTTTTTTTTACTCTGTGGATAAATGAATAAAAAACGGCAGCTTTTTTTTTAATGTTATCAATAAAATGTAGTTCCAATAGTTGTAATTATATCTAATACCTGAATATTACACATTCACATTACCAACTCTTCTTAATTATAGTAGGTAATCTTACCTGCATCAACTGTTTCTTTAGAAATTGTTTTTAGGACATCTGTATACCTAAGTATGTATTATGTACGTTTGTCAGACTTAAAAAAAAAAAAATCACCCGCTTATTTTATAACATTTACGGATCAGTGATGTGATGAGTCTTAATATAATAATAATATCATCAACAACAATAATAATGGATTTTTAAACACTTTTGCTACCACCTAATTGTTTTTACTTCGGGAAATAACTACGTTTTAAATATTTTGCTGCAACGGTTAATAATTAGCCTGACGTTTTTTATTGCAATTTACCTGGGAGGACCGATATTAGTTGCAGCGAATACAACGAAAATGCTTGAAAATTTATGACACTTGATGATTTTTAACAAGTCCCTAATTACATAATGAGCGTGAAACTGCCTTTTTATTTTTCGATACCTTGTTTCCCCTGATGCTTTCTTCATTTTTATCTCATTTGAAAGCTTTTTCTATTCGACAACTTACAGTTCATTTTATATTATGTTTTCACATTTACTGTATCTTCCGCAGTTTCTCGAAATAATACATAATAATGCATAACGTTGATATACTTACAACAGCGAATATTTGACACACAGGTATTAACAAATTGTAACAAAAACCTTTCACTTTATTCATCTTTGCGTCAGATATAATATTGGTTTCGATACATGACCTAAAAATCCAAGGTGGAGCTGAAGATCGAACGTCAAGGAAAATTTTAGAACAGGTTGTTTTCTTGAAGCTATAATTGACAAACAGCATCACTGAAATAGTCTTTGTTCGTTAATTGCATCCAAAGTTCACAGTTTTAATAGCGTCAAAATATCCATTGCTTGCACAAAAACATTTTTCATTTGTATTAATGCAGAAGAAATTGCCATTGTATTTTCTAGATACTTACTTAAAAACTATATTTTACTCAGCGACTTTACACTCCAGCCAGATTAATATGAATAATGTATCAGGAATAAACATGAACTTAACCATAAATGTGCTACTTTCTAAAAATTTTCTTTCTGCATTCATGTAATGTTGATGATATCTCATCTAGTCGCCCACTATTTGAGTAAAATTAAGTTGACATGTATTTACGAATTATGTTATTAAAAATTGTCGTTTTAAAATTTATTTTCCTGCAGATTCTTGTTGAGCAAAATTTTTAAGCAGATCATAAATCGTTTTTAAAAACTATAACAGTTGTATTGGTATGATAACAACATTAAGTTTTATAGCCAATTTTATCCAATTTTCGTAGTGAAAATAATAGTGACTATATTGTATGTAACCATTGTACTTACTAAAAAATATAAACTGGGCAATATTTGGCGTCTTCTTACTGAAAACAATAATGTCCGATGATCGTTAAACGTTTGTTACAATCTAATTACTTTTGGATGGAAAAATAACTACAGTTTAAATATTCCACCTCAATAGTTAATAAGTAGTTGCCTGGCGCTTTTTACCTTAACTTACTTGAAAGGACCAGCGTCAGTTGTAATACACTAGTAGCGTTTAGATTTGGGCGTAGTAAGCTTGTTTCTGGTAAACGTATTTATATAGTTACAGAGCTGCTACACTCAGATGTAGCACTAAGGTTTTCATTTGTTTCACTATTCGAATAGTAAGGCGGGGTTTACATTTATATTATTTAACATAATTGATAACATAGTTTTTGCTAAGCGATAACATAAAATATTTCCTGGGAATAACAATATTAAAACCTGGTTATATTTGGCTCATTTACCTTAATCTGTTTCTAGGACAATAGAAAAATTTACTGTTACTACTAATTTAAAAATAATTACAGTTTTCAAAAATTTTGCGGCGTTGTATAATGGTGACACAATTTGTTCCAAAGGTTAATTGACATGGCCACATCAATAAACAAAAGTCTTCCTTTAGTTAGTGCTAGATGATCATCGATTAATTGTTTTTCTCATCGCCCTCTGGGCGTAGTGAACAATGAGATAGACAATTTGCTTCTCCAACGTTAGCTGGAAGATGGGTTTTGTTAATCGTCTGTTGGAGTAGTAGTTAGGTACGACTGTCACATCAGTGCTTTAAAATTCTTCTAATTCCTTCTAATTTTTACAAGTTGATTGAAATTATATCATTTGTAAATGCGCAGTTTAATAGCGTGACACTGTTTTCTCATGCATACCTATTGACCCCCATGCAAAATGTAAATAAAAGTTATATAACATTACTTAAAGATAAATAACAATTTATGTAAAAAACTTGAAATATTTTTTTGTTGTACACAGGGTAATGCAAATAAGAGTACATTCTGACGAATTTTAGATATACTTACATCTATTTTACAACTAGAGTCTAAAAATGTTAAAATAAAAATTACTGAACACTACAGTTTTTCTACTTGTAGTAAAACGAGAAATATGGTACGACAATCAGCTTGGCATAATAAAAGACATCGCTATTTTCGTTAAATTTATTCTTGGAACTGTAATAATTATCTCATGCAGCAATAATAACCGCAAGGTGTAATTATGTAACAATTGCTCAAAATGCATACCCTGATTTCGTAAACATACTTCCAATATAAACTAAACAAAGTTGATCTCTGACCTAATAACCATTTGCGACTACAGCATATATTTCTTATGTTGTCCCTCCAAAAAAGATCAAGTAAAATAAAAAGGGGACTATGCAGTAATGAATACTTCTACTGTTGTTATTACAACGGTGTTATACACCCTACTCTGGAAGTACGTTGACCTTACGATGCAAATTGGAAATACAGCACATTTAGGTCATTTGGAATGCCTTTATATTACTGAAAGTATTGTGTGTACTTCGAAAGCAAGGTGTCTGTCGCGCTCCTTATTATACAAATGTCTCGTATTGATTGTCGTTTTTACTATTCGAACATAATCTAAGCGTACTTTATGGACTACGAACGCCGTACTTCTTAAGTTCTAAAGTGCGTAATTTAATTCAAATTTAGCGAAATTCGGAGGAACGCCGTCGTATATAAATTTTGAATGCCGTACTTTATAAGCGACTAAAGCCCAAGTTGATTTAAATTTTATGATAGAAAATTTTCTGAAGGTCGTACATTTAATTTAGAATTGCTTGTACAGGGTGACTAAAAAAAACGAATAAAGCAATTTATTTTATTGATCCATTAAAAAACGGTTCACCGCATTTTCCAAAAATGTTGAGAATTCAATACTGTTATTATTACTATTACACTGTACTTATAACTAGATTTTTTGTAACGAGGAAAGTTTTATCAAATACCGTAGACCAATTGTTTGTTAAATGGGAACCGTATATCTTATTTAATTTGACACTCAGTAGTTGTTATAAGTACAATAAAAGCCATAATAAATGAGTATGCGTAAATTATAAAACTAACAGAAATTCTAGGCAACAATAATTCAGTTACTGTGTTTTTTTCCGCTCGAACTACTCCAACATACGTATTCAGCCTTCTGCAATTCTGAACAAAATAGCGTTAGGCGTAAATGTCATCCTTGGTTGATTCACAAAAAAAAACCTACAAAAACCGTGTTAAGACTATACTTACTAATTTTAATTTATGTTCACCTTGAAGTATAACTATAACTTTTTTTAAATAGAGCTTTGTGTATTTCTCATCATAAATTTACGAGTTGTTTAATGCTTGCACTTAATAGAATAGAATAAAATAGAGTTATTAGTGTTATACTCACAAGCATTTACACACGACAGCATGGTATAATACTCTTATATCTAAGGAGTATACTTATGTATAAAACACTACAGAATCACATACGGATAATATAATAATTAATAACTATAACTAATAAGCATTCACGTTCGCTGACAGAATTTTTTCTGTGGTTAAGTTGCAATCTTAAGATCACTAGAAACTAAAGATTGGCATCAACTGTATAATTTTCTAATTCAAATGTCAAATCTGAATTGTGTGGAAAAAACAAGGTTCTTCAATTTTTTTTCTAATTTCAACACGCTTCAAGAAAATCCTTAAATACAGCATGAAAACAATTTCCACAAAAGTAGTCACGGAAAGCCCATTTTAAAGGAAAAGAAACAAGAAATATTTCATGCTTTTCAAAAAATTACAGAGAAAAATGGACAACGCTTGGGTAAAACGGAAACAGTTAAACTGGTGGCAGAAATATTTTCCGTAAAGTTCGCTGGTGTTGTGGAGTGTTTTTCGAATTTTAAAATAATACCGATACAACGGCGCCGGTGCCGTTAATACAATCAGAATCAGAAAGACGACTGCACAGATTTATATACCTACATGCTTTGTTGGTTCCGCTCTACAATTGGTTTTAAGTTTTATATACTAATCGTTATTGTTTTGTAAGATGGAAAACACTCGGCTTTGAGAATAATTGTTCGTAACACATATAAATTTAGGTTTCCGAAGGCGAAGTTTTTCACATTTTAAACACGTTGTAGCTGCTAGAATCAAATTTCTATTACTCTTTACTTTACTTTATTACTTATTCTATTTACTTTTCATTTTCTTGGATGAGACATGGATACACCAAAACGGATCCATGGTAAAATTGTGGATCCATGATTATGATATCAAAGCTTGTCCTCCTAAAATAACTATTGAAGGGAAAAAATTCACAATTTTACATGCGGGTTGCCATTTGGGCTTTTTAGAGGGATGCGATTTTCTCCTTGATTCAAAAATAGATTCAGCAGATTACCACAAAACCATCACATTTTCGATATTTGACATTTACTTACTTACATGTCACATTTTTGATACCTACTTTCTGACATTCCAGTTATACATTATACACTAGAACAATTATGTCCGCATGACACAGCTTAAAAAAAAAGTTGCCAAA